TCCAGGCGTGGCCGGGGGCCTGACCCCCCTGTCCAAGCTGCCCGCCTGTAACATCCTCCTGCTGGGCGCCCAGCGCCGAACGCTCTCGGGCTTCTCCTCCACCTCCGTGCTGCCCCACACCGGCTTCATCTACCACAGCGACATCGTGCAGTCCCTGCCGCCGGTGCGTGGCCCCCAAAAACCCCCAAAATCACCCCAAAATCTGCGGGGACTCCCCCCGGTAACGCCGGGAATTGCAGGACCTGAGGAGGAAGGCGGCGCGGCTGGTGGCGGCCAAGTGCACGCTGGCGGCCCGGGTGGACAGCTTCCACGAGAGCCAGGACGGAAAGGTGACCCCAAAATCCTCCGGGGGGTGGGGGGACCCTAAAATTGTCCTGGAGGGGGTGGGGGGACCCTAAAAATTCTTCCAAATCCAATCCAGAATCTCCTAAACCCTTCCAGGATCTCCAAAATTCCTGGAATTCCCAAAATTCCAGGTGGGGCGTGAGGTGGTGGAGGTGGAGTGCAGGTTTTGTGTGGGGGAGGAGTCTTAAAATTTCCCAAATTCCTCCGAAATCCCCTCAAAATCCCCCCAAAAATTCTTCCAAATCCAATCCAGAATCTCCTAAACCCTTCCAGGATCTCCAAAATTCCTGGAATTCCCAAAATTCCAGGTGGGGCGTGAGGTGGTGGAGGTGGAGTGCAGGTTTTGTGTGGGGGAGGAGTCTTAAAATTTCCCAAATTCCTCCGAAATCCCCTCAAAATCCCCCCAAAAATTCTCACAAATCCCCCCCAGCACCTCCCAAACCATTCCAGGACCCCAAAATTCCCAAAATTCCAGGTGGGGTTGGAGGTGGAGGAGGTGCAGAGTGGGTTCTGCAGGTGGGAGAAGTCAAAATTCCCCCTAAATCCCCTCAAAATCCCCCCAGAATTTTGGGAATTGTCCCAAAATTTCTAAAAATTTTGGGAATTCCAGGTGGGGTACGAGCTGAAGGAGGAGCTCGAGCGCAAGTTCGACAAGTGGCAGGAGCCCCTAAAATCCCACAAAAATCCCCAAAAATTCCTCCCAAATCCCCCAAAATTTTGGGCATGGGGACCCTGAAGTTATTTTGGGAGGGGGTGGGGGGACCCTGAAGTTATTTTGGGAGGCACCAAATTTGTAAAATCCGCTCGGGTTCGGGGAGTTCCAGGTGGGGTGGGAGGTGCAGGGTGGGGGCTGCAGGGGGAGGAGTCTTAAAATTTCCCAAATTCCTCCGAAATCCCCTCAAAATCCCCCCAAAAATTCTCACAAATCCCCCCCAGCACCTCCCAAACCATTCCAGGACCCCAAAATTCCCAAAATTCCAGGTGGGGTTGGAGGTGGAGGAGGTGCAGAGTGGGTTCTGCAGGTGGGAGAAGTCAAAATTCCCCCTAAATCCCCTCAAAATCCCCCCAGAATTTTGGGAATTGTCCCAAAATTTCTAAAAATTTTGGGAATTCCAGGTGGGGTACGAGCTGAAGGAGGAGATCGAGCGCAAGTTCGACAAGTGGCAGGAGCCCCTAAAATCCCACAAAAATCCCAAAAAATTCCTCCCAAATCCCCCAAAATTTTGGGCATTTCCCCACAATTTTGGGAATTTCCCCACAATTTTGGGAATTGCCCCAAAATCCCCAAATTTCCAGGTGGGGTACGAGCTGAAGGAGGAGATCGAGCGCAAGTTCGACAAGTGGCAGGAGCCGCCCCCGGTCAAGCAGGTGAAGCCGCTGCCGGCGCCGCTGGACGGGCAGAGGAAGAAGAGGGGGGGCCGGCGGTGAGTTAATTAGTGTTAATTAGCCTTAATTAATCCTTAATCATCTCCTGGTTAGTCAGGGGTTGAGTGCTAAGCGAGGTTCCAGGTAAATCCCAGTTCAGCTGTAATTAACGCTCTAATAAAGGGCTAATTAAGGTGTTGTTAATCCCTGATTTACCCCCAATTAATCCCTGATTAATGCCCCCAATTAAGCCCTAAAAAATCTTTGATTGCCCCCTGATTATTTAATGATTAAACCCCAATTAGTCCCGAATTAACCCCACATCAACTCTGTAGTTACCCCCAATTAACCCCCAATTAACACCTTAATTGCTCCCCATTTAACCAACCCCTAAATACCTCCTAATTAACCCCTAATTAGTCCCTAATTAACGCAGCTACCGGAAGATGAAGGAGCGCCTGGGGCTGACCGAGATCCGCAAACAGGCCAACAGGATGAGCTTTGGGGAGGTAATTAACCCTAATTAGCGCTAATTAAATCCCCCAAATCTCATTCTTTACCTTCCTGGGACCCCAAAATCCCGTCTTTTACTCGTTTTTTCCCGTTTTCCCCATTTTTAATCCCATTTTCCCCTCAGATTAAAGAAGAGGCCCTACCAGGGGGACCTGGGCCTCCTGGGACTCCCAAACCCCATTTTTCCTCCCTTTAACCCAAATTTTTCTCATTAAACCCCTTTTCAATACCCCAAAATCCCATTCTTTTATGTATTTTTTACCCATTTTTACCTATTTTTACCAATTTTTCCCAATTTTTATCCAATTTTTCCCTCAGCTCAAGGAAGAGGCCTACCAGGAAAACCTGGCCTTTGGTCTGGGCCACCTGTAACCCCCAAACCAAATTTTTCCTCTCTGTAACCCAAATTTTTCTCATTAAACCCCATTTTACCATGACTAAATCCCATTATTTTACCAATTTTCACCCATTTTTACCAATTTTTCCAATTTTTAATCCAATTTTTTCCTCAGTTCAAGGAAGAGGCCTACCAGGAAAACCTGGCCTTTGGTCTGGGCCACCTGTAACCCCCAAACCAAATTTTTCCTCTCTGTAACCCAAATTTTTCTCATTAAACCCCATTTTACCATGACTAAATCCCATTATTTTACCAATTTTCACCCATTTTTACCAATTTTTCCAATTTTTAATCCAATTTTTTCCTCAGTTCAAGGAAGAGGCCTACCAGGAAAACCTGGCCTTTGGTCTGGGCCACCTGTAACCCCCAAACCAAATTTTTCCTCTCTGTAACCCAAATTTTCCTCATTAAACCCCATTTGAACACTCTCAAATCACATTCTTTTACCTATTTTTATCAATTTTTACCTATTTTCCCCATTTTTTATCCCATTTTTTACTGTTTTCCCCTCAGATCTAGGACGAGGCCTACCAGAAGGACCCAGGCTTCGGCCTGGGCCACCTGGGACCCCTAAACCCTATTTTTCCTCCTTTAACCCAAATTTTTCCCCCTTTAACCCCATTTTAACCCCCCAAATCCCATTATTTTACCCATTTTTACCTATTTTTTTCTGTTTTACCCATGTTTAACTGTGTTTTTTCCCCTCAGATCAAGGAGGACGCCTACCAGGAGGACCTGGGCTTCAGCCTGGGCCTCCTGGGACCCTTAAACCCTATTTTTCCTCCTTTAACCCCAATTTTTCTCCCTTTAACCCCATTTTAACCCCCCCAAATCCCATTATTTTACCTATTTTTTCCCATTTTTCTCATTTTTCTCCCCGTTTTCCCCTCAGATCGAGGAGGACGCCTACCAGGAGGACCTGGGCTTCGGCCTGGGCCTCCTGGGACACCTATACCCCATTTTTCCCCCTTTAACCCCATTTTAACCCCCCCAAATCCCATTTTTCACTCATTTTTCCCATTTTTCTCATTTTTCCCCCCGTTTTCCCCTCAGATCGAGGAGGACGCCTACCAGGAGGACCTGGGCTTCAGCCTGGGCCACCTGGGCAAGGCCGGCAGCGGCCGCGTGCGCCAGACCCAGGTCAACGAGGCCACCAAGGCCCGGATCAGCAAAACCCTGCAGGTGCCTGAGCCCCCCTTCAGCTTAGTTAACTCCTTCCGCCCCTAATTAGCGTCGTTAACCGCTAATTATCGCTCCCCAGAGGACACTGCAGAAGCAGAGCGTGGTGTACGGCGGAAAATCCACGATCCGGGACAGGAGCTCGGGCACGGCCTCAAGCGTGGCCTTCACCCCCCTGCAGGTGGGGAGGGGGCTCGGGGGGTTTGCCCGCAGGGCTTGGAGATCGTGAACCCGCAGGCGGCCGAGAAGAAAGTGGCCGAGGCCAACCAGAAATATTTCTCCAGCATGGCCGAGTTCCTCAAGGTCAAGGGCGAAAAAAGTGGGGTCCCCACGCCCCCCTGAGACCCCCGGGACCCCCAAAATCCCTCCCCAGATTCCTGGGGAACCCCCAAATCCCCCCCAGTTCCTCCATATCCACCAGAATTTGGGGTTTTGGAGCAGTTTTGGGGCATTTTCGGGAGTTTTTGGGGGTCCTCGAGCTCAAGAGGGATAAAATTGGGGTCCCCCCCCCCCATGAGACCCCCGGGACCCCCAAATCCCCCCCCCAATTCCTGGGGAACCCCCAAATCCCCCCCAGTTCTTCCATATCCATCAGAATTTGGGGTTTTGGGGAGTTTTTGAGGGGTTTTGAGGAATTTTTGGGGGTCTTCGAGCTCCAGGGTGACAAAAGTGGGGTCCCCACCCCGCTGGGACCCCCAAATTTCTGGGGTTCCCCCCCCCCAGTCCCCTATTTGTGTTTGTTTCCTGAACTTTCTATAAATATTGGATTTTTTTTACTGGAGCGTTTTGGGGGAGTTTTGTGGGAAATTGAGGGTGGGGGGTCGCGGATTCGGGGGGTCCTGGACCTTTTTGGGGGGTTCTGGGTGGGATTTCGGGGGCGCTGGATGTTGGGGTTCCCTCTTGGATGGTTCTGGAAGGATTTGGGGCGGATTTTGGGGTTTTCAGTGCGGGTTTTGGGGCAGATTTGGGGTTTTTGGGCGGATTTTGGGGGGAATTTTTGGGAAGCCACGCCCACCTGGGCGGGCCCTTGCCTGACCTCAGCCTCCTATTGGCTGCCTCCACTTTGAGTGACATCTCAGCTCGTTGGCCACGCCCCCTGCGTGCGGCCGGCGGTTATTGGCTCCCCCTCGCGAAGAAACAGCCAACAGGAGAAGAGACTCGCGCGTGGCGCCGCCCCTCGCGACATGGCTCGGCCAATCAGCGAAGGCGGCGCCCACTCCCGCCACGCTCTGAGTGACGGCGTTTCTGACCAATGAGAAGGAGCCTTGTACGCCTTATGGGCGTAGCTTTGGCCGCATCCCGCCCCTTTTCCTCTATAAACACAGCGCCGCCAACGGGAGTGCAACGGTGCGTTGATTGACAGCCCTGTGAGGAGGCGGGACAGCGCCACATTTCGTCCCGCCCTCCTCTGATCTTACCCAATCACCGTGCGCCTTTCGCTGACGGGCGTGCGATTCTGCCAATGGGGCTCGCCGCGGGGCGGGGCGCGCGGACGGGGCGGGGCGGCAAGCCTGAGGGAGCCGCCGCCATCTTGGATGCCGCTGAGGCCGAGTCGGCGCTGAACGAACGAAGGGGGGGCGGGGGAAAAAGCGGCGGCGGCGGCGACCCCCGCCTATCGCGGCACTATCGCGACATCGCCGCCGCACTATCGCGACATTATCGCCATTCCCCGGCCGGCCGGGAGCGCCTGGGCCGCCTCGCGAGCCTCCGGTGAGCGCGGGGAGAGGAGGGGGCGGGGAGCGGCGGCGGCGCCGGGAGGGCCCTGAGGGGGCGGGGGGGGAGGGGCGGCGCTGAGGGGGCTCTGTAGGGGCCTCTAGGGGTCTATAGGGCATCCTGAGGGGGTTATAGGGGCCTCTAGCGGTCTATAGAGCATCCTGAAGGGGTTATAGGGGCATGTAGGGGATGTGGGGCATCCTGAGGGGGTTATAGGGGATGTAGGGGATGTGGGGCATCCTGAGGGGGCCTATAGGGGATGTAGGGGTCTATAGGGAATCCTGAGGGGTTATAGGGGCATATAGAGAATGTCGAATATTCTTAAGGAATTCTATAGGCGCCTATAGGGGATGTAGAGCATCCTGAGGGGGTTGTAGGGGTTTATGGGGGCCTATAGGGGATGTAGGGCATCTTGAGCATGTTCTTTAGGGGCCTATAGGGGATGTAGGGCATC